TTGAACATCTAAATGATGGTACAGGTTACACCACAAATTCTATCATCTCTATAAAAACATGTGCATTTATATTTAAAAAGCTTTGTTCCATTCAATTTTTAAATGTTCCTGACAAAGACTAATATCATAATTGAAAGTACTTGAAGTTTAATTTGAACCTTTGATTTGGAATGTGTTTCAGACATTCCAAATCAAAAGTTTAAAATTTAATAGTCAAAGGTTTAAAAAAACTAAAAATTTAATAGTCAAATTTTTAGTTTTTACTTCATTTTTTAACTTTATGCATAAAAATTAGCAGAACAAGGCATGAATGCAACTTATAGATTTCAAGACTAAATTTTTTTCATTCTATGAAAGCATAATTTTTCTTCTTCTGTTTTAAAAATGATTTAAATTTATAAAAATCTAAAACATAACTTCATAAATATTAAATAAAATTTATAAATCATCGTAATTAAGCCATTTTTACTATCTAATAATAATCAAAGAATGCTTAAAGTACAGAATCTACCTGCTCTGATGCTATTTTACTGCTGAATTATTCAGAGTAACTGATATCTTTAACAGTAGATTAGATAAATGTCACTTCAGCTAGATTAAACAAGAAATTTAACAGAAATTATTTATCAGTGTTCAAACACATGACTGATATGATGATGCTTAATCACATGTTTCTATCAGAGATATTATGATTCTTTATTTGGAATAACTTAAAACGCTTGATACATTTATCTCATAATCATATTTTTGAGATTTTTAAAATTATTGAAGCTTTTATTCATTTCTTATATGCACATAATATCCAAGACAGATAATTTCTTTTTAAAAATAATTAAAATATACATTTAAATTACTTTATTATTATTTATTAGTTTTCAATAAATTTTTCTTATTAATAAATAGATGAAATGTAATGTCTTATAGATACGGTGACCATACGTCCTTTATTTAAGAGGACAGTCCTTTATTTCGCTGCTCTGTCCTCTAACTTTATTTATTTTATAAAATAGGCATTTTGTCCTTTATTTTGTAAATTCAATGCAAAGTTTAAAAACTTTTTTAATAATATATTGAACAAGTTAGTTTCGTGTACGCCATCACGATCAGTGTTGTCATTGTGTCCAAGGGGCAGACACTCTTATGGGGATTTTTGTGATAGCTTTTTAACTCTCTGTTTGGTGGATGATACACTTGGAGCGTTGGTGAGCATTTGTCGACAATCTTCGGGGGATCGACCATGTGACATATTTACTGTTAATGTACTAAATAATTGGGACATGTGTTTTATTGAAATAGAGGTGTTTGAATGGGTCACATTACTCAAAATCCCTTTGTGGATGAAGATAGAGGAAAGCTATATTTTTATTTCGAATCATTGGTCTGTAAATATACTGGACAGTGAATTATTTGATGAAGTTTCATGTGTAAAAAAATGTCACAAACAAAAAGAACGACGAATGGTGACAGAATAACAAGCCCTGCCATCAAAAGTGAGTTGAGATTTTTGAACATTTTTACAGCAAAAGAAATTGCTTTCAAAAACATTTGTAAAATCGTAGAATTTTCTTTGTTTCCCTGGATCTAATGCCCCGTCGAACAAATATTTTCATTGATGAATAATATGTGGACGAATGAAAAAACCCAGTTAAAAGTAAGCACATTATTTCCGTCAAATACAACTTTCAAATGAACTGTATGGAATTTTATGACTTTTTAAAGTTGAACCAGTGCTATTAAAAAAAATTAATTCTACTGAAAAGTATCAAAATTAATGTTATTTGAATTTTTACAATGTGTATGTATGTGTAATAAATGTTATAAACTTATGAAATTTATAAGATTTTTTTTTGATATGTCCTTTATTTTCACCCAAAAAATATGGTCACCGTACTTATAGATTAATCCTATTAAAGAATAAAAAATTATAATTTGATGCATTTGTTAATGCTTCAATTTTAAAATAATTGCTTGAAATGTTTTTCAGTTTTTATTTTATGTTATTTTTAATACCATTATTTTCTGCACATAACCTGCATAAAATTACTAAAATAAACATAAAAATGCTGCATAACCCACATTTTGCACCTCTGAAGATGTCATTGAAAGCACATAATCCATACTTAATCCATATGCAATTTAGAAGGCATATTTTCAAACATTTTTGCCCCTGTTTTTTCATTTTATTTCCATTACTAATTCATTTCAGATGTAATTACAAAATAAGTGAAATATAGAAATTAGTATAATTGAGACAGAGCTACTTAAACTGCATTAAATACAAAAAAAAAAAATAATAATAATTATAATTGTTCAACCAAAGATGAGCTTTCTTAAATAATAAAGATAAATTGTAGTTGTCAATTTATTCAATTAGTCTGTCAGAATTATTCTTCAGAACAATCATTATTCTTGACTTCATCATTAAATAACTTTTACTGTCATCATTAATATGAAAGTTATTTAATGATGATTTAAATTGTATTTGAATGCTACTTTAATGTAAAACAATTTCTACACTTCAGAGTTGCAAAATAAAGCAAATAAGTAAAAATAGTAGCAATTTCATCTTTAGCTTCAAATTTGTTAGCAAAACATCAGAAAGTAATGCTGTTTTGTAAGCAAAATGAATCATTACACAATCAAGCTAGTGATATAATTCTACATGTATCATTGGTAACTTTCCATTCAATTATTCATTAAAAATATATTTACATTTATAGAGTATTATTACTGTAATATATTCTAAAACTGTGTCTTCCTTTATTTGAATAATTTATTATCACTACTAGGTGCTTATACAGACACTTGGCAAAGTTCTGTCATAAACTTTTATTCAGGAATTTTTTATTTGCCAAGACACTTGACAGAATTGCCAAGTGTCTGTATAAGCACTAGTAGTGATAACAAATTATTCAAGTATTGTTACTCTAAACTATTCAAAATTAACTGTCCCTATAATTTTGTCTGCTACAGATTAGAATGTATCTACAGATTTTCTTTCCAGTTTTTATCCTTACTTCTCATTCTTTCTTCTTATTGGATCATTCCAAAATTTATAAAATTTCTAACCTGGATGATTTCTATCATTGGCACTGAGATAAACAACAATTAACAAGCATCTCAAAAATACCTAAATAACTAAAAAGACAATTTTTAAACAGTGTATACACAGTACAATAGACAAAATAGGAAACTACCTATCCATAAGCGCCACCTATTAGTTTTGAAAAGTGCACACCCTATTATCTTCTAAGGTAGAAGACAGGACTGAACAGATTTATATCAAAGCAGTCAATAGTCTATATCCTAGTATTATCAAGATTAAATTAATCATAGCTTTATCTTATTGATATTGTTAGAAAAATATCTGCTTATGATAAGTCGAACTATAACTTGTGATCAATACTTTCAAATCACAGCATCTATTTAGATCACAATAGAATTTTAAAAGTGTTCTGTAACTTGAACATAAAGCAAAAGTAACCTTAAAAACATGACTCTTAGCTTGTAAAATAATATTATGTGTAGAATTCAGGGCTGTGGAGTCAGAGTCAGAAATAAGTTCATTGCTAGAGGAGGTGGAGTTGGTAAAAATGGTCAGACTCTGACTCCTGCTTTTTATCATGTACTTGATATTAAGCTCCTAATAGGAGTGTTAACATCCTATCTTGCATTATTGGAGCTTCCTGTAATGTAAGATCTTATTTTATGATGATTCCCCTACTTCATGATATTTGAAGTAAATGACTCTTTCCAGCACAAAATCCTTTATTAAAACAAACATTTGCGGCACCTTTTAGGAGCTGGCATCAGATTTAACACTTATGAAAATTAAATGTTTTAATGAAGAATTCCAAACTCGCAACATTCTTTAATATTTGTAATCTAATTTCAATATCAAATAAATGTGTATATTTTAACTATAGTATAAGAAATATAACACTATATATATTACACTAGGTCAGCGATTCTCAATCTTTTTAGCTCCACGACCCTCCCAAATAGTAAATATAAATAAAATTAATATTTTACGATCCCCCCACCCAAAGTAAATTTTTAAAAATATTATATAATCACATTGCATTATTTTTATACATTAAGAAAATACCGACAGTATAAAAAATGTAATACAACTATTCCTATTATTTTATATCATTGCGTTTATAGCGATGGGTATGAACATGCATGTACGACATGTACATACATGAGCAATTTACAAGTTCCAACTTGATGTGTATGTGCTCTTTGTAATTTGATCTCCTTCTATAATACTCGCTGTGAGAGCATGTTTGAACATGCATATGGATGCGTTTGAACAAGTCGTGCTGTCACTAGTATAAAAGAGGCACTGGCAATTGCACCACTTCAGTTAAGTTTCGAATGCGAAGCGTGTGTCTGGTGCTTTTATTTTAGTGTGCGGTCAACTGTGAAACTGAACTGTTTTTTTTTTTTAAATTTCTAATGCAAAATGGATAAATTTGTGAAAAAACAAAGTGAGCCATCTACATCCAGTAAATCAGTTGGTAAAAACACAAGGTTATACAATGACAGTTATTTAAATTATGGTTTCACCTCATTGGATGGAAAGCCACAGTGCGTTGTTTGCTCTCAAGTTCTCTCTGCTAAAAGCATGAAGCCATCAAAATTAGTTCTACACTTGGAAACTAAACATCCGGCTCATAAAAACAAACCCTTGGAATTTTTCGAAAGAAAATTACATAACTTAATCAACACCTGATCACTCGCTGAGAGATTTATTCTTAAAACAAGCACTTTCAATCCAATCAATGGATCATCGTCAGGTTAATTAGAACATTTCAAAAAGTAGAACAACAAGTTCAAAATACAAAATTACATACCTTGAGAAATCAACAAACTTCTATTTGTAACTTAATCCATAAAAGTGTACTTGAAGCATATTATTTCATAGCATTAAGAGTAGCTAAGATGTCCAAACCCCATAGAAATGCCAAAAACCTCAATTGCCTGCTGCAATTGATATGGTCGGTGTTTTAATAGGTGTGGAAGAAGCAAAACAATTGAAAAACATTCCTCTTTCTAACGACACAATATCAAGGCGAATCGATGACATGGCTGCCGACGTTCGTGATCAGACAATTCAGCAAGTGAGTTCAAGTGAATTTTTTTGTATTCAATTTGATGAATCAACAGATGTAGCAAACATGTCTCAGTTCTTATGTTTTGTGAGGTATGAATGCGATAGGGACATATCAATCAAAGAAAATATGTTAATTTGCAAAACAGTACAGGGTCATGGAACAGGACAATGTCTTTTTGATGTTTTTTATGAAGTTACACGAAACTATACTAACATAGATTAGACAAAATGTATTGCAGTATGCAAATGCAATAACAGGAAAGAACAGTGGATTAATGAAAATATTAAGAGATTGTCTTATACCAAGGACAGAATAGACACACTGTTTCCTTCACAGACATGCTCTTGTCACAAAAAAATATGCCGGAAAATCTCAATCAAATTCTTTGTGACGTTGTAAAGTTGGTTAATTTTATTAAAAGCCGACCATTACAGAACAGGCTGTTTGCTAAACTATGCAATGAAATGGGCGAAAATAAAAAATCTCTTTTTTTCCATACAGAAGTTAGATAGTTATCGCGAGGGAAAGTGTTAACCTGGGTATTGGAATTGCGAGATGAATTAATAATATTTTTCCAGGATAAACAAACACCATTCTCATTGTTTTTACAGAATAATGAGTGTATATTGTTGTTGGCTTACTTAGCTGATGTATTTTTGCATTTAAATGACTTGAATGCAAATATACAAGGATGTGATAAAAACATTTTATTAATGACAGACAAAGTTCATGCGTTCATTAAGAAGCTTGATATCTGGATTATTCGCCTTCAAAGCAAAAATTTGGACATGTTCCCACTCACTTCGGATTATATTGAGAAAAATTTGAATGAACAAGACACTATTATTCACCACAGTTTGGAGTGCATGAAGATGCATTTGCGTGAGCTAGAAACTCAGTTGACAGAGTATTTCCCGGAAGATAAAAATGATTTCTCAAAGAGATGGGTACTGAATCCGTTTAGTGAAAATGTTGTTGCTGCTGCTAAGTTACCAGCTGAGATTCACGACCAGCTCATCAAAATGTCTGCCAACAAAACACTACAACTGCAAATTACATCTGAAGATTTAAATACGTTTTGGCTTGCTCGTCGACATGAATATGGAAATTTAGTCACAGAAGCATTGAAAATATTAATCCCTTTTGCTATGTCTTATCTCTGTGAAAAGGGTTTTTCGTCTATGGTTGCACTAAAAACTAAATACAGGAATCGTCTTTTATCACTCGAAAACAATTTGCTTTTGTGTGTTTCTAACGTAGATCCACATATGGAGAAAAACAAATGCAACCATCACATTAATTTGTTTTCTTTACATGTGCACTTATTGTAAGTAAAATGTTTATAAGTTTATAATAAATGATTTTTCTCATAAAATGATTTCATTATTGTTTCACAGCCAACCTTTAATATCACCGTGTACCCCAGGTTGTGAAACACTGCACTATGTTATTCAATGTGTACAATCAACAGTTATAGAAAATAAAATAAAATAAAATGTAAGAATTACTAAAAATAACACATTGAGTGCCATGAACCATTATGAGACAACTCTAAGCATACAAAGTTGAATGTTTACAACTATTGTTGTATTGCTGAGAGGGTTATCCACTAGTAATTGTGATTATTTCAGGCTATATTAATGCTACTATTAATAATTCAAAATTATTCATATATATATATATATGAATAATTTTATGAATAATAGGTAGAGCAATAGCCAGCTAAGTACATAATTGGAGTTTTAGGCTATGGGTGGGTGAAAAGTCATCCCCAGTCAGTGCTGTGAATAACAGTATGGTTATATATAAATTAATAGTTCTGGAAGTGAAGATCAGACAGGTCCAGGTAATGTAACTGGCAACATAACCACTTGGTTGCATTGTCTGTAGCCAGCAGGTGTTGTGGATTTGAGTCCTGCTTTGGACTGATTCTTTCTTCCAGAACCTTCTAAATTAATTATTAAACAAATTACTTAATGTTTAATTATTAACAGTAGTAATAATATAGCCCAATATAATCTGGCATTTGTTTAGTTTTAATCAAATAACTGGATTTACAGATGTTTATATTAGCACTATTACAGTATCATTTATTCAATATAATGTCTTTGTCATTGATTAACAATCTTTATACTGTAGAATTGTGTATGTAAGCTAGACTTGTGTTTCCATATTTGACTATCATTACATATGTAGAACACAGCCTAAGTTTATTTTTAAGGTTGGATATTTGATAGATGTTCCTCCTTCTCTATTGCAAAAATTTCAATGGTACATGCCAAATAAGTTTCTTTAGCCATGTGCCCTGGCTATGTTCTTTATACGCTCTATTTCCTGCAATATGTCATTTACATCAGAGAAGTGTTTCCCAATCTGTATGCTGGGAGAATGCCTCAGGTGTGTCACAAAAATATTAAATATTTTTTAGAATTGTGAATAAGCTGTTTAAAACTTCATTTATCTTTTTACCACTGGCTGATGAAGGGAAAAGGAGATATTCACTAAAATGCTGATTGTTGCAAAATTTGCAGCATCAGCATATTCCCCCACAAAATTTGCATGTGTCTAGCATATGTTGGCATGCCACTCCATAAATGTTGAGGCTTACCAGTTTAAAGACTGATATAAGCTCTTTATGCATTGGTTTAAATAGTTTTTTCTTTTTATGGTATAAAATTGGGAGTTTTGTCTTGGTAAGTTTAACTTCTGTACTAAAAAAAAACATTTTTAAATCAACCGTAATTTATTTTAAATTTTAAACATTTTTATTTTAGATATTATGGTGTGTTGCTGGAATCTTATTAAATTCATTGTATGTCACTAATCCAAAAAGGTTGGAAAAAAGGTTAGAGCAATGCATATAGGCTCTTTTATCAGTGCCCTAAATGCTGCTATGTTATAATTATGTGAATTGTTAGATATTGATGGAATGAAAAAAGAGAGATGGTTGGGTTTGTGATATATTTGTGAAGCTCCTTATTGAACATAATACTGAGGTATAGAAAGTAAACTTGGGTACTGTTGCTTTGGTCCAGTATTAAAATTAAACTGTATTGCACATACATATGGTTTATATATATAAAATATTATTAAGATTGTTTATTACAGTTTTAATGAGATTTCATATTGATTTCATATTCAAACTGAGAGAATCAATAATTAATCAAAGCTAGTTTTAAAATACTAAACAATCAGTTTAGTGTTATAAGTTAGTATCAGTTTAGTTAAAATCCTAAACTGATTGTTTAGTATTTTAAAACTAGCTTTAATTAATTATTGATTCTCTCAGTTGTGAAATTTATTAATAATTAAATCAGCTTTGTTATAGCTATGAATCTCTTTGATGGAAAATTTATAGTACTGAAACTTAAAATAAAATTTTAGATAAATAACATCCTAAAACATTTTACACATCTAAACAATTTGAATTTATATCTGAATAGAACCTCATATTTTTATTATTTAATAATTATATAACTATTAATGGTTTAAATTATTAGTTTGAAACTTTTGTAAAATGAATCTGACTTTTAATAATTTAAATACTGTATATCAGGGGCACCAAACTACATCCCGCGAGGTCAGTTCATCCAACCCGTCACATACTGTGCCACAAATGAGGTAAAATATAATTATTTCTATGGAAATATAATCTGTAGATAAACTTACTATGTATAAAAAATTAAAATAAATGTAAGTAAAAATGCCAAAATTGGTCCAATATAATTTTTGTATCTGACAATAATATAACTTTTAGGAAAATCAATAAAATAAAAAATTTGACAACTTATGCAACTTTGAATATCAGAGTGCTTTTTGTGTATCTGCAATGAAGTTTCTAACAAATGCCATTATGAGCTTGCTGCAGCCATCGTGTTTGTGTATTGGTAAATAAATATATTGGTTGTCTTTATTTTTTTGTGTATTTAGTGTGCTGTATTGAATAAAATAGTTATCTGGCCCACACTCATCATTTTCTGTTATCTGGCCCACTGTGAAAGAAGTATGGTGATCCCTGCTGTATATTAATGTAAGTTTGTTATGTAATGTAAGTAATGTAATGTAAGTAAAGTAATGTAAGTAATGTAATTTAAGTAAAGTAATGTAAGTAAGATGTAAGTTAAAACAAGTTAATAATATATTTGAATAAAACTATGATTAATTAGAATCGATTTATAATCTTTATAAAATTTTTGATTTTTTTAAACTCTTTCTGCCCTATGGAACTAAGTCATTTACTATGAATATTTTCTATCTAGCAGGCCCAATGGGGTGACCAGATGGTGAGGGATAGGGTCCGACATACCTGAAATAACCATCAACAAAAAATTTCTGATGCTCCTAACTTGAACCAGATTCCTAGAGAGAGCTGATATCTTTATAACCTCAGCATTTGGCTGACTAGATGTGTTTGGTCACAAGAAATCAGATGAGACATATATAACTTATGATCATATGTAGCATAAACATTACAATTCTAAGAATAAAAGTCATTTATTGCATAGGAACTTACTTTTTAGGAGTCCTACATGTATGTCATAATATCTATGTTAATTTGACCAAATTCTTTTATACATTATGACTAATTTATAATTTCTTATATCATGTAAAAGAGAATGTCTTCATGAGTTTTTTATACTCCTGTTTACTTTTTCTCTGTGAACATTAAAAAATCTTTTCTAGTGTTATTATGAGTTTGAATGGAAAGAAAAGGAGCAGCCAGGAAGTGAGGAATGGGATCCATTATAATTGGATAAAAGGCTACTCATTAAACTTTCTGACTTTCACTCTGATCTCAAATATGGATCCCTAAAGCAATAAGCTAATGTCATTACTGCATTCATCATCTACTTCTTTTACAATGGTTATAATATACAGCTGTGACTTGTACTTTAAATAATTCTAACTTTGAATCCAAAGTTCAAATGATGCTTCTATGTTTGAACTGCACAGGCAGTGTAAAGTGCAATTGCTACTTAAATGTCATTTGTTGTGTACCCAACTTATCTGTAACTTTTGCTGTGAAAGCATCTCATGCTATGCTCATGTTTTTTTAATGCTTTTAATTTGTTTTATTTTTGGTGTATTTGGTCATATATATAATCCTTACATCTTAACCATAGCATTCAAGAAGAGTGTTGAAGCAACAAAGCCTAAGAGGAAGGTTGTAATATTGACAATTGAAGTGAAAAAGGAACTTATCACTGAGCATGAAAGTGGTACAGGTGACAAATCTGGCAGACATGTTTAAGATGCCAAAGTCAACAGTGTGCAACCAGTATACACTATTTTCATTTTATTATACAGTATTTGTGTATTTTATTTATTTTTTATGCTTTAATTTATTGTTTAGGGCATTTAATTGTGTTATTTTTACCTTAAATAAGCATATCTGCTATTTAAGTGAAGTCTGCTATCAAAGTGGATATTGTTTATGGTCTGGGAATGGATTAATTCATTTTCCATTATTTCTAATGGAGAAAACTGATTCAGACTTTAAACAATCCAGAGTTCAAATGGCCTCCTGAAATGAATTAAATTCAAAATACAAGGCAGCACTGTATTCTGTTTGATCTTATATTTACCTTAACATATTTTTTTCTTAATTTCAAAAATACCAGAATATTTTTTTCTATTAATTATATAATAATTAAATACATAATTATTTATAATTATATTAGTTTTTGTTCTTTACTTAATTTTTAAATATCACTTGATTTAGAAAAATTTCTAAATGCTTCAAAATATTGCTCAGAGTATAATTTTCAACAATAACAAATACTGTTTATATATCTGTTATATCCAATTAATATTAATATATTGATTTTACAAGAAAGTATTTGATTTATCAATTCTATTAATAAAGATAATTCTATTTCTGTTATTTGAATATTTCTATTTATATCTTTACTCTGCTGTTCAGAATGATTATGGTTCAAAACATAACTTAGTATGTTAATAGTAATATGTTAATGATATCAAATATTGTTTGTTGTTTTATATTTTCTAATTTGTGTAAGTGTAATTTAATTAATACCACTTTAGTAAACTTACTTATTTTTTATCTATTTAGACCAGGGGTGTCCAACCCGCGGCCCGCGGGCCGCATGCGGCCCAAGGCAAGTTACAATGCGGCCCAATAAACGTGTAAACAAAACCGACAAATTTTAAATTTAATTTAATTTATTTATTTCAACGGCATAAACTCAAAAAAGAAGTTTCACAAAGCCGTAAATCTTTATATGTATTTTACTTTTGAGTCGAAAGGAAATATTTTCAAATACTTGGAAATGTGTTAATGAGGAAAGAATACTAAATAAATCTAAAGTTGAGACTCGAAGAATTATAGTCCCAAATTCGAGGAAAGGAGAGAAAGGCCAAAAGATAAAACGTAGTGAGAAAGATTAAATAGACTTTCTGTTATGCAAATATGGACCCTTAATTTTCCAACTTTCCTCACTTCTTTATCTTTTGNAAAAAAATAACTGTAGTAAGAAAAACAAATGAAAAATGCGAACTAATGTAACGTCGTATGGTGAGTTTTTGTTCGTATCGTGGAGCAAAAATATGTTCGAATTTCATGTCGTATCCTGAAAATTTCGTATGCTGGGGCGTTCGTAACCTGAGGTACCACTGTATATAATATATCAATGCCTTCAGAGATGCACTTATATCAAAAATAAGTCTAAGATAATATTGATAAATCAGTCTCTTAAAATATAAAATATAGTGAATTCTTATTAATCAAAACTAATTATTGTACTGGGCTATTCAAATTAGTGTAAAAGTTCAGATTAGCAAGATTATATATAAGAGAGTCAAAAATGACTAAAGACAATTATATTTATTTAAATAAGTTTTTATACTGTACTTAATACATGTACTTATGTTAAAAATGTATAGTACATATTCATTTTAAAAATTCATCATGTTTTTAAAAGATGATCTATAATTTCTTTCTGTTTTTGGCTGGAACATTGTAGAAAAGCAAACAAAATTGGTCTAGGGTTTGGATTAACACGGATTCAGATCGGCGAGAGAGCACTAGAGTAATACGTACATTTAATCACGATTATATTGATATATACGCACATAATTAGTATACTACATAAAATAGGTAATAGCTGTAATAATTTTGCACATCAATATATTAATAATTAATAAATTAATGATTTTTTCTAATCGATCTTTAAGTCATAAGTTACAAAAATTACGAAGCATCTAACAAGCATTTAAAACGCATCAAACAGAAGATAAATAAATATAAAGTTATTAATAAACATTGCAATAACCTAACAAACCATCAAAAAAATTATTAATGTAGTGTTTATTNTTTTTTCTAATCGATCTTTAAGTCATAAGTTACAAAAATTACGAAGCATCTAACAAGCATTTAAAACGCATCAAACAGAAGATAAATAAATATAAAGTTATTAATAAACATTGCAATAACCTAACAAACCATCAAAAAAATTATTAATGTAGTGTTTATTATTGTCTAGTTTTAACCAGTTGTAAAGTAGCAGTTGTTATAAAGTCATTGAAAAAATTGATATAACAGCAGGCGAACAAAGCGAGGTTTTAAATACGATCAAAACGTATCGCAAACGGTCGAACAAATTCCGAAACGTCAGAAAAATTCCAATAATTATTATTCGTTAATTAACTATTCAAATGCCAATCCAATTCGTTCCAGAAAAGCAGTTCGAGTCGAAATCGTCACTTAAAAAACATCCGTTTAATTCATATTTCCAGTTACAAAATAAATTTATGTACAGTACAGTTTACGAATAAATCTACACAAATTTCTTAATGTATTTATAATAAATCATAAATATAAAATACAATTTGTTTATATTTATTTCATATTTAAAACAGTATATTATAAATGCTGATATTTTAATAAGAGTTTAAATTTATTCTATGTTTTCAAAATTATACAAACAGTAATATCGACAAGACTGTTAGAGAAAAGGATATATTTAAATTCATTAACAGGTGACTTACCTCTGAAATTGTTTTTATATAAAATAGTAAAAATGTCAACTTAACGACGAACAACATCTATAAAGCATACGGATCTAGAAAAGAAAAGAAGAGTTAAATCTACAAATTGTCATTCATAAAAATTCCTATTAATATAGTCGTATATTACTAAATTACATTTTAAAACATATTTCTCTTAAAGTATACTTCTCTACAGACTTTCCAAACAGTCCATTACATCTATAACTATAACTTTAAAACATATATAATACAATAAAGTATATAAATACATTTGCACCACTTACGCTAAAAAGTGAAATGAGTAATACTTCATCCGTATCCGTTCTCCATAGCGAGCCACGTGACTGGTACTCCATATCAAGATGGAGGAAACCCGGAGGAGGAGAATAAAAATAAGAACATTGAATTTCAATAATCGGATTTTTAAACGATATTACAAAGATATATTAATAGCCGATAAAATCATTGATATTTTTTCTTTTTTTTTTTGGAATTTCCAGCCCATCGGCTCCTCTCGCGGGTTCTGCCGGTCACGCTGGGCCTTCGAGATTCCAACCGGTCGCCCATAACTTCGTTACGTATTTTTCGGGGGGTGGTCCGTTCGGATACGTCGGGCCCCGTCCCTCACCGCCCGGTCGCCCCATCGCGGGCATGGCCGTACCCGTAATGGGCCCGCTATAAGAGGCCCTCTTAGTGCCCACAGGGCGGAAAAAAGTCATTACGTCTTCCAGCCCGAATTGCATTATTTAAAACTATAATACAAACTTTTTTGCACTGTTTTTTCTTTAATACAGAGCCTAAAAAAAGAAAAAAACGACGAAATAGACCGGACTTTTCTCCAAATCCGAAATACTCCGAATAAAACAGTGACAAACAACGTTAGTCAAATTATAATTTCGAAATTGCTTGTCGCAATTATTCAGCATTTCTATTATAGATGATACGTAAGAGATAATTAAGATATGTAACGTTAGTTTCTATTGTTTTCAATGCCTGACTACATGACTGGTAAAGGAAAAATAAAATTCATTTTGTTAATGTACTTAAGTGTAAATATATCAATCAAAAATTCATTCGAGTATACAAATTTTAAGCATTTTTTTCCTAAAAATAGAAATGTGTCAAAAATATACCATATTTATTAAAAATGAATTGTAATCATAATATTTAGAAATATATAAATATAATTAATTATTACTTTTTAAATTAATATTTTATAATATAATGTAGCCTATTTCAAATGTTTTAGTTACAAAAATAATATTTTACCAATGTTTTAGTTAAAAAATCAACCAATTAATTCTAAATATAATTTTTTTAATATAAAAACTGAAAATTATAGAATATATAAAATAATATTATTATAATTACAATAATTAATATAATACTGAGNTTTTGAATTGAAATAACGTGACATCCAGTTTGCATCAGAAGCTTGTATATAGTTAATTGGGGCCTCTGCCCCTAAAGGTTTCCATATCTGGGGCCATATTCTGGTCACAGTCTCTGGTCTCTCGTCTCTCACAAACCGGTCGCTGATTGGCTAATCCAAGTGATTAGCCAATCAGCGACCGGCTTGCGAGAGACGAGAGACGAGAGACAGTGACCAGAATATGGCCCCAAGATCCTAGAACCTTGCGTCTAGACGGCCTTGGTACTATCGACCGCCATCTTACTTTAGGTCAAAACAATGAAGTCTATACCACGTGTGGGGAGGATTGTCATTTTAGAATCTACTTTTTTCATCTAGATCTAGATTGTTTTGTTTGCCCCTAGATTTGAGATTTAGGCAATTAGATAAGTAATATAAATCTAGATTGTTTCATCCCAAATTTAGTTATTTTCTAGATTTTATTTAATTATTATAAAAATGGTAATATCAGAATTCAAACTTGCAAGTGTGTGAGGACGCCGATCAGCGCTAAAATGTTAGAATGACGGAGGAGTGCCGCTTTTAAATGGGTGAGATTGGAACAGAGGCAGACTCCACAGTTACAAAACAATAACTTAAAATGAGCTTACAGCTACAACAGTTGACAATCCATAGGCGAAATCAAGTCTTCCGATTTGTTCCTTTAGGCCAGTGTTTCTCAACCTTCTTCAATATGCGACCCCTTTACGAGTTAAAAAATTCTGGCGACCCCCAGGGCCATATTAAAACTATATCAGTGATTTTAAAAACTACGTATTTAATTTTCTTTCTGTTGAAACCTAAATATCGATCGAAAACCCAATTATACTGTGAAATAAACAGGCACAACCTTCTCACTGAAATTGTATTTTTTTTAATCGTAGTGTAGGACCTACAAACACTTGTCTTTTTCTTTCACTCGCGACCCCCCCTGTAAGGCTTTGCGACCCTCTGGGGGTCGCGACCCACAAGTTGAAAAACACTGCTTCAAGCAAATGCAGTGGCGTAGCGTGAGTGTCAGCCGCCCGGGGCGGAGGAAAATTTCGCCGACCCCTTATTTAGGTATCCCAATTTAAAAGACTAAAATTCAGTTTCGTCACAGAATAAGTAATGAAAAATTCCGTGCTCATTTCAATCGATCCGAGTCGTAGGTGCGACAAAAATATGAAATGAAATGGTTCAAATTTTTACAAGATATTATTATTATTTATTGTGAAATCTTGCCGCCCCTACTACGCTACTTCACTGGGCGAATGTTCTACTGGAACTATTCTTTCGGATCCTTTTTGAGAAGTCGACGACCTCGAGGCGTTGATTGGAGAAAGTCCTTAGAGAAGACGAGGGGTATCCGGTTCGATGTCGGGATGCAGAGGAGATTTTTAACGGAGGATGGTGTTGCTCAATAGGAAGGCAGGGGGAGAAGCTCTCTGTGTCCTTGATGCGCGGAATTTTATAATTTTTTTCGGGTTCGACCACTTCCATAGGTTGTTTCTACTCATCTGCGCTTTCTAATTGGTCGTCACTCGTTACCAAATGTAACGAGCTAGAAACCTAGATCGCAGGATGAGCCAAAATCATCCGTTTATTCGATCCCAATCGAAGACAGTTGTTCTTACATTATACTATTGTTTAAATATGAGAACTACTTTCTTTTTTTTTCGATTCGAATATGACTTTTTGTGGCCATAGAATTTCTACCTTTTAACATTATTAATAGTTTTATAAAATTATTTTATAAATTGCCTTTACACTGTTGCGTGGTACACAATTCCGGAGCCTCACAAGTGTAGTACTCAACCCTCAATATACCAATATTTTTATAACTTAAGTACGAGCCAGGTTTTGAAGGGCTTCACTCTTAGCCATGTAATTGTTTATTTGTAGTTTATATACATATACTCTTTCCGCTCTGTGGACACTAAGAGGTCCTCTTATAGCAGGTCCATTACGGGTTCGGCCAGGCTCACAATGGGGCGATCGGGTGGTGAGGGACAGGGCCCGATATATCCGAATTGACCACTCCCCAAAAAATTCCTGGGGATTCCTTGACCCGTCCGGATTCGATCCCGGGTTCCCCACAGCGGTAGGTTGCCACCTTGACCGTTCGGCCACCCGGCCGTCACGGTTTATTTGTAGTGTATTCGGGTGTCTGATCCGTTTCATACTCAGTACGTTGTTCATTTCTTTCGGAAAGTGTTTTTTTCTTCTTTCGTAGGATTTATGTAGTGCTCTCGTGTTTTTATTATACTTATACAGTAGTTTGTTTGTGAAAATTTTGGTTTCAACTGGTTAAAATATTTACGATGAAAAACTACATTTTCATCTTTGTCACGTTATGAAGCAAATTGTTGAAGTTAAAATCCTTTTAAGTTTACCTTAAGGAGCTAACCCTACACCCGCCAAAGATCAAACTGGATTAACATAGATACCGTATTTGATTAACGCGATTTTAATATATGCGGTAGCGTCGACGGATTAACAGTGTTAATCAAGGGATACATGTAAAATCTTCAGATTTTTAATAAGATGTAACTCAACATCCGCGTAACATACATAGTATAAAAACGTCTAGATTTGAAGAAAAATAGAGCATAAAAAAGGGAAAGTATTCCTAGGAAACGCCTGCAGTTGCATTTCCTAATAATATATTTAATCCGTGTGAGATACGCGAATGAAATATTTTTTAGTAAATGCGGCTGCAGGCCAAATGGCCAATGATAAATAAACCTAACCGGAATTTTCTTTATCATTTATGTTATTCTTTATCTTTACCTTCTCTTTGTCAACGTCGAATTCAAAAGAAACACAAACTTTCTTCTCCTCACAATATGGCGGCTTGCTCTACAGTGAAGTCGCTTCCGGCTTCAAGTGTGCGGCTAGTGGCAACAGAGCGCTGCCGCTCCTGATAGATATTATAGGTCCATGGTCGGACCCGGGCGAGCATTTCCAGGAATTTTTCGTGGGTAATCTGTCCGTATTGTCTCTCGCCACCATTTGTGGTCCTGGCCCAACCCACGATTAAAAGGTTCTTTTACTGCCCACAGGGCATAAAAAGAATCATAAAAATTAAATAATGAATACATTATTCAAATTACATATTTTATTTATATTAATAATTACATTTTGATTAAACGATGGTAGGCCTTATTTAATGCACCCGGGGCAGAAAGACTTATAAAATAATAATAATAATTAACTTTGTTCTATTTTCATTAGTTTCGTTCGTTAAATGTTTGGATAAAAGTCAAAACAAAAATGTTAAATATGATTAACACACAAACTTCAAAACTACGCAATAATAAAATTTATTTTATTTAAGCCACCACATACGATACGCATTTATCTAATTTGTTCTCGATTTTATTGTAATTCTCCATTGAATCCGACGGTTATCCTTCATTGATAATTGTAAGAAATGAATCATAATATTCAATAACCGTCCGTGTTCGGCATTGTACGGTCGAATGTATATTTCGCAAACATTAAAAATACATTATTTCTCTACTTAAAACAATCATTTGTTAACGTCACATATCAACATATGTCAATCATCACTTATCGTCATACGTATTAATGTTATTAACCCGTCTTATTGTTGAAATTCAGATTAAGGTACCAAGAAACCATAAACTTTTCCCGATATATTCATTTATTCAACAAGAACCGTAATAAAAAAGAAACTTAAAACGGTTATGACAATAACGTTTATGTTGTAAAAGTTCAAAGCCCCGAAAGCGTTCATGCCCCGAAAAAAGAACTCTTGTCGTAGCTAAAGATAGTATCGACTGATTTAATTTCCATAAAGTGCCTAAATCTTGGCTATAGTATGGGCGGAGAAATTACTAAACATATTGTTAAATTTTATCAGTTGACTTGGTTACATTTTCTCTTAAAGGGTATGAATGAATGTAATGAATGTAAGAGAAAGCAAACATTTTATCTGAAGCAGAGACGATGCACGTAAACTTCGTTTAATTGGCCAATATGTAGCGTAGGCTTATACAGTAAATAAATAATAATTACTTATAAAATAATATGTTTGATGTTTGTATCGAATAATAACGTTATCGATACAATATATATTCTTTGTAATTCGTAGGTACTGTACATCTGAGAATAAAACAATATTTTTGTTTAAAAATTCCTACCATCGCGGCTGAATGAAGCACAGTTTTCAAGCTTTTTGCCATTTTATAGTAATTAAAAATACTAAGCTTTTTATAACAAAATTTCATAACAGATGGCACTACACACAATTTATTTAATAATATAAGAGTTTGATTCTTTGCAGACACACTAAGGTGACATATATCAACACTTGGCAACTTAT